GGAGAGCCATTGTCGCCAACAATTTGGACTCAAAACCGGCACTGAAGAATTATCTATCAAACAAAAAATTTAATCGAAATCGGATGAAAACTGGAAATGCATAAACAACATCTGATTACACACACGCACATACACACATGCACACATTTTGAGAATTATATATATATATATATATATATATATATATATATATATATATATATATATATATATATATATATATATATATATATATATATTCATCCACACAATCTTACACGGATACCAGCACACATGCTACAGTTTCTGTGTGCATGCCATGACCAGGATTACATATCCATCCAAATATATGCATCAGTATATTTTGGTGTCTAGATGATGGTTAGCGAGTTCGAGCCTTGTGGATTCCCGAATAATATCTTTTTGCTTATTTTATTATTTGCGAAGCTTAGTTCAACAACACGGGGCACCCAGTGAGGATCGAACTCGCAACTCAGTAGCAATGGTCAACCAAACTAGCTCGCAAACAAACAACTATTATCCTACCTTGAAACATCCATCTGTTTGGATTTCTTGGTAAATGTAAAGTCTAAAATTTCCGATTTTGTACCAGTTGCCAAGTGATCGTCAGCAAATTGTGCTTACTCTTAGGTACTTTACTCTTAAAGTTTAGTGTATGCTCTTAAAATCTATTCTTAGATTATTTACTTTTAATACTTAGCGTCCATACATCTTCGGCATTTTTCCTCAGTTCATAATTATAACCAATGTTTACGGTTATATTCTCCCTTTCTTATATATATATATATATATATATATATATATATATATATGTGTGTGTGTGTGTGTGTGTGTGTGTGTGTAATTCAATAAATAAACGTATTACTTTGGTCCTTTTTGAGGTCGAAACGTGTTACACAGATTTTTTTTCATTTTGTCATTCAATTACCCAACTCTTAGGTATCTAACAGAAGTAGGGAACATTTACTTTTTTCACATCTCACCCCTACCGTTTATTGATTTCATCCCAGGATTTTAAATAAGAAACAATAAACAATTGTGGGTGGTTTAAGTTTTTCTTTGAACACTTTCATAAAAATATTGTTCTTTTTTTTTTTTAATTCCTTCCAGAATTGCCACGCGTTCCATTCAATCCTCCAAGCTTTTTGAGGTGGGGTTGGGGGGAAGAAAGCGTGATAAATAGCAAAAGCTGCAGCACTTATCATCAGGTAAGTTAGTTTTAAGGCTCTACGTTCTACACTCAGAATTGTCCCACGGTACAAAAGCCTAGTGGATTAAAGCATTGGTTCGTGAGTTCAATCAGGGCAATGCGTACGGGGCGAGCAATAACTGTGAATTCTAAATAGGAACTAGACAAGATATCCCTAGATATGGACAGCAGAACGAGACAATGTAACCTCGTGGATTAAATAAATTTCCTGCAGGTGACTCGGATCGACAACGGTTGAAACGTTGTGATGATAACAACAAAGATGACGACAACAGTCCGCGCGTGAATAATGTTAAAATAAAATTTCTTTACTTAAATTCTAAATTTCTCACCCTTTAAATTACTTTCCGATCCCATTTATTAACGCCCCATTTATCACAAACTAGCAGTAGAGCCCGGCATTGCCCGGGGATGTAACAGTAAGAGATAGATCAAGTATCAACCATCATAAAGACTGAAAAATAAAATTGACAAAGATTATTGTTTAAGGTTAACAGACACGCATGTCTTAATTATTTTTTTTTTACGAATTGGTCAAACCCAAACTCAAACAAAAACATTGTTTTCAATCGTTATGAGTCTACCGATTGAATAGAATTTTATTATAAACAATTGTCTTGTAAATGGAATTTTAAAGCATTCTGAATGTAAAAATAAAGAAAAAAGTGTGCAAGACAATAAGAAACACTACCTGCCAAAAAAAAAAAAGTGAAATTTTGTTGAAATCGGTTAAAAAATGTAGGAAATCCGATCCCATATATAAACGAACACACACACAATATGGGTTTTATAATAAGTATAACTCGATATGAGTTGTCCCCCTTTCATTCTTGCGATGCATCTTAATCGTGTTTTCAAATTGATTTTGTGCAAAAACAATTGTGTTTTTTTCCAATTTTTGGCACTGTCAGAACCACCGCAAGGTAATTTTACGTAGTCCTGTGAAGTTTTGTTGAAATCGGTTGAAAAATGTAGGAAATCCAATCCAATATATAAACGTACACACACACACACACACTCACAACCTGGGTTTTATAATAAGTATGATTAAGAAACATTTCGTCGCCCCCGATTTAAAGACCCCCTATCATTGTTGTAGGCACCAGGGGGATGAGAATCGACCAATGTTGGGAGCAGTTCGGTCATTATTACAGGGATTAGCTCCCGCGTCAAAGTTGGTCTAACAACGTGAAACCTTTTTACGTGAAATTTTACTTTCAAATATTTTCTTATTTTAAAAAAAATTATTTTCGTTTCTTTTATTATTTTTTCTCTTTATTTAATTTATAAATAGTTCGGTACCTTTCGTTTCGCCGATAGCAATATAATCAAATTTGAAATAGATTGTTTGTCCATTTAAATATAATCAAATTTGAAATAAATTGTTTGTCCATTTAAAATACGAGATTTTTTTGCAACACGCGTGAGCGTGTTGAATTTCTCACAGATTTTAGTATTATTGAAATTATCGCTAACATTTCATGTCAAGATTTACAAACTACGTTTCATTATCTGTCTATATTTCTGAGATGAGGTATTATGTATATTATTTACATTATTCGGATTATTGTCCTCATTTTTGTAGCCATATTTATTACGACGTTTCGGCCTTTCAGTATCTGTCAATATTTCTGAGATGAGGTATTATGTACATTATTTACATTATTCGGACTATTGTCGTCATCTTTGTCGCCATATTTATTACGACGTTTCGGCCTTTCAGTATCTGTCGATATTTCTGAGATGAGGTATTATGTTCATTATTTACATTATTCGGACTATTTTCCTCATCTTTGTCACCATATTTATTACAAGGACACATGGCACAGTGGATAAAGGCATTGGTTAGATCCAGTGACAGGACACAAAGAGTGTGTGTTCAATACCCGGTTAAGGCAGTGGAGAACTTTCAGAGGGAAATTAACAGGAGATAACTGATAGCTGACATCCATTAAACATGGCACGTCGAACTAGAACAGTCTACCCCAGTGAGTGAAATAAAGGGTTCAGTTCAACATTCCAACCACCTGAAGAAGGCCGGAACGTACAACGGCCGAAATGTTGCAATAAATATGACGACAAAGATGAGGACAATAGTCCGAATAATGTAAATAATGTAAACTACGTTTCGTTCAATTTCGCAAACAAATCGCTTGTTTAAAAATTTCCATTAACAAATATGTACAAATATTAATGAAAATTTATTGTACTAAGCTACGTACCCTAGTAAAACCAACTGCACTTTGCACCCCTCCCCCTTACCTGTTTTTGCACTTCTCACCAAAATTTGGTTTCGATCGGTCAACGTATGGCTTTTTTAGGTGTGACGGGCAAAATTTTATATATAGATTGATAGATTACATTCATTACAACATTTATTCTGTTTAAATTCAGGCGTCATAAAAATACTTTAAAAAGCCGCGCATTTCGATTTATACGCTTTTTACTGTTAACCATGGTTTGTTGTCAGACAGAAATATTTTTCCTCGCGTTACAGATATCTATTTAAATTTCATTCAAATTCTGTGTATATGTACGTTTGTACAAGTGCATGTATATTTTAATTCAATGACAATCCTAAAAATATTTTTAACAGATAAACAACTAAAACAAAAAATAATTATATTTGTTACTGAATAATTTCCGAAAAGTTCAATAAAATTTCATAATTATCTGATTTTTTAGGGTTATTTTTTTGTTTCTTGTCTTTAACTGTATGAGTTTATTGTCCAGCTCAGGGTAGGGGTTGTCCCAACTGAGTGGAAGGGGAATGTATTCTTACGATGTCTTATTTCAAACTCAATCAAATTGTGTGTGCGTGTGCTTAATGACAGAAGCGCATATAAATTATTCACGCACAACACAGACATACAAATACGTTACATACGTAAGGTCAAGTTACACGCAGACAGTTCTTAATCTTATGGACAACGAATCGGCTCTTCTTTTATAAAATAGGTTTACTGGACAGACAATAAATGCAGATCATTCGAGTTGAAAGTATACAGACATTAACAGGTGCTACACTCTAATGAATGCCAGAAAAATATTTTAAGCTTAAAAAGGAAAATGAGAGAAAATGACAAGAGCCTTTTTAAAAAAAGTTTGTGAAAAATCTGACAGTTTTTCATTTATCATTTAAAAGTTGATCTGCTGAAGTAAAATTATCCAAAGCTAACAATAATATCGGAGACGGTTTCATTTGAAACGAAGCTGATGAATTTCGCTCGAATTAGTTTAAATAAAAAAAAAAATGCACTTCTTTCTTTCTTTCTTTCTTTCTTTCTTTCTTTCTTTCTTTCTTTCTTTCTTTCTTTCTTTCCTTTTACTTTCTTTCTTTCTTTCTTTCTTTCTTTCTTTCTTTCTTATATCCGTTTCTTCTTTTTCTAACTTTCTTTTATCTTTTCCTTTTTTTCTTTATATATTTCTTTTTACTTTTCTTTAATCCTTTTCCTGTCATTTTCTTTTTTCTATTTTTCTTTCTTTTTCTATTCTTTTCTTTATTTTATTTTCTTTCTTTCTTTCTTTCTTTCTCTTTATCCTTTTCTTTATTTCTTTCTATCCTTCCTTTATCTTCCTTTCTTATTTCTTTTCCTTTCCTTTCTTTCTTATTTCTTTTCCTTTCCTTTCTTTCTTTCTTTTTTCTTTTTTTCGACCTATCCTTTTCTTTCTTTCTTTTCTTTCTTTCTCTCTTTTTCTTTCTCTTTGTCTCTCTCTCTCTCTCTCTCTGCAATATAAAAAAAAAATAATGTCGCCTTCCTCCGTAAATGTTTTTGGCTGTAGGTTAACTTTAAAAAAAAGAGAGTCCCCGGCCTTCCTCTCGTAACGGGGCAGATAGCAATAATTGGAATCGACTCATATTATTTGTGACTAGCAGCAGCCGAAAAGACACGCAAACACATATGTGTAAGTAAACTTTAGCGGTGCTGTTTTGAAATACACTAATCGGCTTTACCATTATTATGTCCCCTTTACTCATCCGTAGGTTGTAAGGTTTCACCGCTCGTAAAGATTCTCTGTGATACGGGAAAGGGAGAGGAAGTGTTGAGAGAACAATCAAGGTCGGAGTGGAAATAAAATGAAGACAAAGAGAGAGAAACGGGAGGAAGGAAGGAAATTGAGGGAATAATAGACAAAGGAAATAAAAGAAAAGAAGTTGTGAAGAGAAAGGAAGGAAGAATCTGGTGTGAAGGGTTGATGTAGTTAGGAATAAAAGGGGAGAAGGAAGAGTTCAGAAGAACAAAGGCACAAAATCAGAGTGGGAGGGGCGCTAGTGTGCGAGAAAAAAAGGAGGAGGTAGAGTAGACATTCTGGAGAGGGAGGTGAGAGTTTTTGGTAACGGAACCAAGGGAGGAGTGTTGAGTAGGAGTGATGTCGAGTTTTGTTCTTGTCTGAACATAGGAATTGTTTATTGTGCTTTTATTCGGCTATAGTGTCAGACCACGCTATGGTCAGCCGAAACTTTATGATTTTTTGAGATATTTTATACCTCTTCTTGCTGGAGACATGAAAACTTACCCGCGGAACCTTATTTTGATCGCGACATTGTCTTGTTTATTATCTACGGTGTTTGCAGGTAAGTTTGTTAACTTGTATTTCTCAAAAGTTGGAAAGACCCCTTTTTTTTTGTTCTGTCAACTTTAAGGGGATTCAGTGTCATAGCCTTTATTTTGTATTTACTTCTAATTAAAAGAAGAAAAACTTTTCCCACTTCAATTTCTCATCGTAGGAAACACGTAAGTTATTGTAATTTTTAAAATGCCGTGTGTAGTGTAAGTTAATTATTCATAAACTTGATGGTCTTGTGTTCAATGTTCAAATATTTAAGTTAGCAACAGGTTTGTAATTACATTAAAAATGTTTATAAAGTCTTCTGTTAAAGATGCAGCTGGTATATTTAAAGTATTTGTATTCTCTTTCTTTTAATTTAATCTTGATTACCTGCTACAAGACTTTCTTTGGTAAAATTTTCTTCTTTATTCCCACTATCTTCGCTTTTTCCCTCCTGATCACAAAGGTAGAAAACAAAAAACCATTATTATTGCCAATGCTGAATTTCTTGGAGGGATTTAAAAAGAAAAAAAAGGCAAGTGATAACAGTAACACCAAATAAAGTTTTGGCATTTTTGTCTGTGTAATAAAAGAAAAAGTTATCCTCAGTAAAAGAATTACTTTTGCCAAGTTAAACACTTCGAAAAAAAAAAAAAGTTTTTAAACTTTAAAAGTATTTCATATCATTTGACCGAAGTAAACTTTGATTTCTACAAAATTTTTTTTTTTTTTTTTTTAAATTTATTTGCGTATTTTGTTAAAAACTATTCTTGTTTTATCTTTTAAAACAATGCGATTGGAATGATAAAGTTAATTTCGTAACTTTCAGGAAACGTTATTTCTTTAACAACGGCATTCAAAGTACGTTACAAAATTTATAGCACATGTTTTAACTTTCTTTGTATTTATGGAAACATGAGTGAAACTTTTTCATGCTTTCGTTTTACTTTTAATTAAATCTATTTTATGATAATGGATTAATTTTCTAATATTTTATTGCCTCGTTTCGGAGGCTGGATCTATGCTCGTAATAAAAGAATTCTATGAAACATAGACATAAACATCTTCGTATGAAACTGATGTTAATGTCTATTGAGAAAAAAAATTGTAAACTAAGATTTTTTTTTTTATACTTGTTTTTAAATACATCTCTAATGTTTCTTAACTTTGTATACACACCCATTTAGTTTTTATTGTAATTATAGACTTTTTTCTTTTATAAATATTTTTTTTAACTTTGAGTTGCTGACTTTGTCTTGGAGTAAAAAAAAGAAGTTCTTTGGGTTAAATTACCATAAAATGTGTAAAATAAAAAATTATTTTAAAATAAAGTTTTTACGAAGAAAAAGTATTTCGTTACTTAGTTAATGTAACCAAAAACGTTATTGTAGGAAAATTATAAAAAAGGACATAATTTAGTTATTTATTGGTAAGATAACTAGCAGGTGTCTGTAAAACACCGCTTACAATTTTTTTGTCCTTTTTTTTTCTAAAAACATGTACTCTTTATCAATAACATTCTTACTTAAACTGACATTTTTTTTTCTAATATGGAAGTTAAAATTATTACATTATTTAACGAATTAATTCAGATATTGGTAGGTTTAAAAACTTTGGATGTCAGTTGAGTTAGTAAAATGCTGTTAAATCGTGAAATATTTAAAGTTGGCTCTCAGAGAGAAGAGTGTAGTTACTGTGCCTTGTGCAATATTAATGTAGAATTTTCATATTTAAATTCCTAACAAAACTAATAATTTTAAATTGAAAAAAAGAAAATTATGATTATTTTTATGCAGAGATGATTAAATTAAAAAAAAATAGTGGGTGGGGGGTTACTCAGTTACTGAATTGAGCAAGTATTGTGGTTTTTATCTTGTTTTTTGTTTTTTTACATAGAAGACACTTGCTGATAAAAAGTACACAACTACTACTTAAATTATTTCTTCTTAAATAACAGAAATTCTTTCATTACAATTCTCATTGCTGTCTACCCCCACCAACAAGTGTGTAAATATTGTCATGATTCTGTTGAGTTGAAATGTTCTCATTAGCTGCCGTTCTTAGGTGGCAAACTTTTTATTTCCCCCCAACCGAAATATTCCCTTATCCACATGGGCTGGGTGGGAGAAGACATAACGTCAAGGGGAAAGAAGAGAGAGAGAGATGCCACCATCATGACTAGCAGTAAGATGCTTTGCTTTAGAATTTTTCATTCACCGTCCATCCTGGGGTAAAGGAAGATTTGGGTCCTGGCTTTTTCTCAACGAACTGACCCAACATATTCAGCGTCCGACCGAATAGAAAGAGAGAAAAACTGAACTCTACCCTCGTGTGTATATTTTTAGTGGGTGTGAAACTAGAAGTCAGTGTTTGTAAATTCTAAACCCAAGTCGATAATGAAGTTTTCATAGCTTAACGACTTTATTGTACAAATTGCAAAAAAAAAAAAAAAAAATACTTGCAATTTGCCTCAAGATTTGAACCCGTTTCGATGACATGATGCATATTTATTTACTCAGTCCCAGAAGCAATGGTTCGTTAGCATTTATGCATAAATAAAATATGACTTGCCGTATGTTCCCCGAAATAACTTGAAAGGCCGAGAAAGAATTTTTTTTTTAGTTGGTCCCAAGTGTTATGAAGTCCTGGTCATATTTTGTGGGTCATCCAACAATTGTCTTTGTACACCTTGTTAAAATTGTCGTGGGCTATTTTAATGCAATCGCCTGCTGTATTTTACAAATACACTATGCATTTATTGGTCATTAAGTTTGAAGCATTGAAGCACGATTCTACTTGAAAAAATTTTCAACGAGTTAGAGAGCTGTTAGCTAGCAAGTTGATTGAACTGGGTTTTACTTTTCTCTTTCGTTGTTTCTCTCCAAAACATCTTCCTGATTGTTCAGTTATTTGAAATGCATAGAAGTTTCAAACAAAACAACCAAATTCGATCTTGCTACTCATTTGTTGTTATTATTAGCATGGAGTTTATGAACATTACAAGGTTCAGATTAGTCCAAAACTTAAGCATGAAACTAGGCTAGTTTTTTTTTGTTTTTTTTCATTCGTTTTCTACGAATGAAAAGAAATAGAACATTCGTATTGATTAACAAACATTCAAATGCAAATCCAAAGATCTTTATTTAAACATCTCTATGGTACAATATTCTACAATACATCCATAAAGTGGAGATACCTACATATCCTTATCATAGTATTCAAACAAAAAATAATAATAATAAAAAAAAAAATACGCACTTAATAATTTAATTTTTAAAGGATCGCCTTACAACTGTGATTGCCCGCCGCTAATTCACTGCTCAACGTAGGAAAAATAACTTAAGTTTTCTAACTCTCATTACAATTATTTAAATTTAACCGTAGTAAAGGCTTTATTAACTTCAATTTTAAGCTTTGAATAAGGCTCGAACTTGAGAATTTGTTAAGCGTGACCAATCTCAGAAAAAAAAATATCATTTGAAAATAAGTTTTGTTGAGAAAATAATTGAAAGAAAGAGACACGCATAGACACACACCTCTCCAGAGATGGTGGACATCTTTGGATATGAGAAGCATAAAGCCTGGTATCTGGGAATCTGTTCTCCAGTCAGCACCTCCCCATTGGATTTACAATTGAGTTAGGGTCATACTCTAATAATTTGGTTGACCTTACTATGCCATCTCTCTTTTAGTGTGTAGGTGATCATGGCTCTCCACAACTTTCTTTTATACATGCAAATTACCATGACTTCTTGGGAAAGATAGTAGAATGGTTTCCTCTTGCCTTCTCCCAGCAGTATTCTCCTAGACTGGCTACCACCCAAGGCTACAGAGCCAAGTCTATCCAGCTATTTGAATAGAAGCATATTATTAATGCAAACTGAACTCCAATGACTTTGTCGGATTTTTCATCTGAATTTTTAGGATAAGGAATTGTGATTTCTTTTTCCTTTGGATTAATGTCCTCACCTTATCCCAAGTAGATTAAAGTGTTAATTCATTAATTTGGCAGCATAATAATTGTGACTTTGTACCTTTGGGTGATGGCATGTAAAGTGCATGTGCATACGTTGCTTTACCCAGAACTTTCTTTGATTAGTAAACCTTAACCAACTGGACATTTATAACAAATCTTGAGTGAAATACAAAAAAATTCTATATCCTAAAATGGAATCCTGCTTCCATATCTGAACTGGTCTTCTTTTTCCAGTCTTGAGAGAGTTCAAAAGCATCTATACTGCTTTGTGGATGATAAATTACTTTCCACCCTTCACTGCAGATGAAATGCTGCAAGCCTTTTGCTACTTTGTTGCTATTTCCATAGAAAATGTTCAAACAAGTTATATTCCTTAGTTCACCAACTCTTACCTTCACAGCTAAGACACACGATGCCGTGTACACCTTTATTTCCTTTCTATTCCATTAGTAGGAAGGAAGTTCCATTTGAACAGCTTCTTTCCACAAACGTCTACTTTGTGGAACTGACTCTCAAAAGGATATTTTCCTAACCACTACTATCTTAACCTCTTCAAATCTAGGGTTAACAATTATCTTTCTCACATATTCTCATAAACTACACCTCTTACTATTTATAAAAAAAACTTATTTAATAACCTTCTACTTTGAGTGGCTCTTGCATACATGCATATACATACATACATACATACATACATACACACACACACACACACACACACATATATATATATATATATATATATATATATATATATATATGTGTGTGTAAAAATGCCTGAAAACCATGGCATGCATTGGCCCAAGCCTTGTGAGTGAATTTTGGTAGACATACCCCTTGGGGCTGTCAATAACTGCACTAGCACAAAGTCATAAATCATTGTGAATGAGGGTTTGAGTGTGCTGGTGGTGTTCAGATTGTTGATCATTCTAGATAACATGCTCTTTCCCATAAACTGTAACTAAGGTCTGCTCAGCATAGTTGCAGTATAAACCACAGGTGGGCTCTGTGGGTGTTGAATAAACACAAATGCACCTGAACGAGAGTCTGCAATTGGGATTGGCTAGCCGCCCTAGTAGACAGGTTTCCTTGAATACAAGTGGCTATATATATATATATATATATATATATATATATATATGAGAGAGATTTATTTTTCAAAAATTAAATTCCCTTCTGCAAGAGAGTAAAAATAGATTTTCCATTGTTCTTAATTTCTGGAGAAGTTTAATTAAAAGACAAAAGAAGAAAAATCTTTCTGCACTGCTTGAACTTACCCAAAACTATATTACCTTTCCCCCCAAATTTTTCTCTCACTTTTCTTTGAAGTTCTTTTTCTATGTTGCTTTTCTTGTTGGAAAAGTGTTCAGCTTTGAGCTACTTGGTGTAAAAACTTAAGCCAAACTAAAACCAATTTAAAAATTAAAACCAACCTTTGCTATTCTGCCAAGTGACAAATCTTAATTTCTCCTTAATTTTTTTTTTTTTTTTTTTTCCATGTTTGATGGTATCCAAAAACCTGCTCTTTTCTGCAGGGAAAATAAAGAAATTGTTACATGTTGTCAGCCCCACTTAATTCCAGATTTGGTTCTTTGTAATTTCTAACTTCAGTAGGGCTTTTGGAGTTGGTAACAAGGGTCTGGCATTCAGGTCTTCACAAGCTGAAAAGTTAGTGTCTCTGGGCACGTTTTTGAACTGATCCAGTTTTTCCTGTCAAACCATGAAATGAATTATCCTAAACAGCCACTTGTCTAGATCTTTTCATACTAATGAAGATGTCCCTTAGGGCTCCATCTTTGGTACTTCTCTATTTTTAATTTTCATTAATGACCTTGGTATCTATGCTGATGACACAACAATTTACTCCTGCCTTGATAGTAAGGCTTATCAGTCTCACAAGATCAAAATGGCAGCTGATTTCCAAAAAGACTAAGTCCATAGTTAACAAGGACAAAAGATGGTTTGTTAATTTCAACACCTCCAAAACTAAACTTCTCTCATTTAATCATCTGAGAGACCCCTTGCTGCCTTACATCTGCATGGCTGATGCTAGCCTCCAGGAAAGTGAATCATTGTGCCTTCTTGGGCTCACGTTCTCATCTGATATGTATTGGAAAGACTATATTGAATCCATTGGTTGGTTATCTGCTAAGAAAGTTGGTTCACTATGTGAGACGATTTTTCTCTACTGAATCTGTCTTGTATATCTTTAAGTCTACCATTCGTCCGTGCTTGGAATATTGCTGCCACATATGGTCCAGTGCTCCTGCTATTTACCTTGAGCTCCTTGATAAGATCCAAAGAAGAATCTGCAATATTATTGGTCCTGATCTGGTGGCTCATCTCCAGTCACTTTCTTACTGCTATAAGGTTGCCTCTGTCTTTCATGATAACTGTTTGGATGAGCTCTTCGCTATGGTTGGTAGAGTTTTTGAATTTAAGTGCAGCATTAGATTGGCATCAAGATCTCAATTTACAGTTCAGCTGGCTTTCTGTAGCCTTAAATTCTATGCTAACAGTTCTTTCAATTGCACTTCTCACTGATGATGGACTGCTTGGAAACACCAGATGCTGTAAGCAAAAACAGGGTAACAACCTGGTTGGGCTACCAACTTCATTTCTTTAAAACTTAATTTGCTATGGAATCTATAGCAGTAATACCTCGTGTTGTTAAGAGTTTTGGGCTGCATATTCCTTAGTGGAGTCTGTAGGAGGAAAAGAAAACTTTCATTATGAAATGAAACAAAAAAAAAAAAAAATGAAGTAACTGAAAATACTTGACAAATGCTGCCTTTAAAAAAAAAAAAAAAAAAATCTGTTCAAACTTTTTAGTTTGAAAGAAGTTGCAGTTGCTAGGATTTTATTTTTTGATGAGTTTAGAGAGAAATGATAGACTTCAGAGTTCGAACCAACAAGGCCTTTTTTTTTTCTCTTTCTGTGTCTTTCACTTGTTTATTTTCTTAATGATATCACAAGATATCTCCTAGGAAGTTTCTTTGTGGCCCATATGACATCTTCCAGGAAGTTTTCACATGTTTTATATATATATATATATATATATATATATATATATATATATATATATATATATATATATATATATACCAAATAGTGATTTTTTTTTTCCTCTTTCCATTTAATGAAAAAAGAATAGTCAATTATTTATGAAGTGTTGGCAGGACGCAGAGGTCGTGCAA